GCTAAGGTCTAGAAATGTAAAGGCAATCTGCCACAAATTTTGGTGGAGTCTGGCAGGTAGGCAATTGGACGTGCAAGATAGTGGTGGCAAATTCTCGTTCTCAGCTCTCACCGAACCTGTTCTCTAATATTTAGCTCTCACCATGTAGCCCAGGCTGGCATGGAACTTGTGATCCTCCTACTTCAACCTCTTGAGTGCTAGGATTAAGTGTATGCCATCATGCCTGGCTAGTCTGTTGTAATTCTAAACATACTTGTGTGTGTGTGTGTGACTTTCATGTGCTTTATTTTTTTTTTTTGGGGGGGGTAATAGGGTTAGAATTCAGGTCCTTGTGCTTGCTAGGCTCTATCACTTGGGCCATGCTTCCAGCCAGGTGTTCATTTTGTCTTTCCACAAGTATTGTAAACTCCTTAATGGTTGGTGATCTTTTGTTCAGCTCAGCTGTTGAAAACAAAATACCTGTACAAGCTGTCTGGAATTCCTGCTGGACAGCCATGCTTATCACCAGGCTGGCAATCTGCGCCTGCGTAGAGTAGGACAACCTCAGGGGAGTGGCGGCGTCCTTTTGAAGCAAGGTGTGCCCGGGTGTCAGCAGGGTGCATGTTTCTTCTGTGCACAGCCATGTATTTGCTTTTAATCAGAAGTCACAGCAGTGGAACCGTTGGTTTTGAGAAACACACCCCTGTTCAGAGTAACTGATTAAACGACAACTAGAGTGTAGTAATTTTTTTTCTTTTGGTAGTATTTGGGCTTGAACTCCCTACTCAGCCTTCTGTTCACTGAGGCTCATGGCTGTTGCTCTACTACTTGAGACATACTTCCAGCCCTGCTTTTTGCTTTTTTTCTGCTTGGGTTGGCTTCAAACCTTGATTGTCCAGATCTCAGCCTGCTGAGAAGCTAGGATTATGGGCAAGGGCTACTGCTCCTGTTTGAAAGAACCATTTGGGAGAAGCCTTATTATTAGGTTTAATGTTGTAACCCCAGGGAACAACTTAAGAGACTGTCTCCAGGCTGACTTAGAAAAGTGAACTGAAGGGCTGGGAAGTTGGCTCAGTGGTAGAGTGCTTGCCTTGCATGCCTGAGGCCCTGGGTTCGATTCCTCAGCACCACATAAGCAAAAAGAAAAAAGCTGGAAGTGGCGCTGTGGCTCAAGTGGTAGAGTGCTAGCCTTGAGCTGAAGAGCTGAGGGACAGTGCCCAGACCCAGAGTTCAAGCCCTATGACCGGACCCCCCCCCAAAAAAAAAAACACCTTGTGGTAGAAAAGTGAGCTGAACCAGGAGCCTGTGGCTCAGATCTACAATCCTAGTCACTCAGGAGGCTGAGATATGAGGATTACAATTTGAAGCTAGTTCTGGCAGAAAAGTCCATGACAGTTTTGGTTTTTTTTTTTTTTTGTCAGTTCTGGGGCTTGAACTCAGGGCCTGGGCTTTGTCCCTGAGCTTTTTTGTTCAAGGCTAACATTCTACCACTTTGAGCCACAGCACCACTTCTGGTTTTCTGGTGATTAATTGGAGATAAGAGTCTCATGGCTTTTCCTGCCCTGGCTGGCTTTGAACTGCAATCCTCAGATCTCCTGAATAGCTAGGATAACAGGCATGAGCCACAAACTCCTGGCTTCAAGAAACAGCTTGGATAGGTAGCTAGCTAGAAGGATAGAGTGTGTGTGTATATGTATGTGTGTGTGTGTGTGTGTGTGTGTGTGACAGGTGTGGCTTGCAATAGATGGTTGTATCTGTACTAGTGACAGAATAGCTTCCACTTCCACCACTTATTGACTTTGTTAGGTGCTCCCTTTCCATCTTGAGTGAAAGTAGCTGCAGGGTCATCCAAAGTTTACCAATTGTCGCCTGTAACCCTGCCTGCCCAGGCCGGTGGTGTAGGTTGTCTGCAGTAGTTGTGATTAGAGCAAGGCCTTCTGGAGCTGAAGTCTTGGCTTCAGGTGCAGTGGTCTTGGGCTGGAGTGAAGTAGAGTAGTAATGGAGACTTTAAAGCCACCTGTCTTAGAGGCAGCCTGATGGTTTGCCAAGGGGTACCTTGGGTAGTAGCTTCCCACTTGAGGCAGCCAGGCACAGGATGGGCTCTAACAACTGCTGCTGAAGCCACACAGTGGCTTATTCACAACAGTTTAAATTATTGAAAGGAAGATAAAAACTCCACGAGGGATTATATCCATCACATTTTAACATGACATTAACACACATATGTATGCATGTATATATTTTGGTTCCAGTTCTGGGGCTTGAATTCAGAGCCTGGGCACTGTCCAAGGCTAGTGCTCTACCACTTGAGGCACAACTCCACTTCTGGCTTTTGGTAAATAATTGGAGAGAAGAGCCTCATGGATTTTCTTGCCTAGGCTTCCTTTTAATCTCAATCCTCAGATCTCAGTCTCCTGAGTGGTTAGGATTACAAGAGTGAAACACCCATTCCCAGTGGTTTTACTTTTTTTATGGGGCTTGAACTCAGGACCTGGGTGCTGTACCTGTGCTTTTGTGCTCAAGGCTAGCACTTTACCATCTGAGCCACAGCACCATTTTTGGTTTTCTGGTGGTTATTTAGAGATAAGAGTCTCATGGACTTTCCTGCCCAGGCTGGCTTCAAACTGTGATCTTCAGATCTCAGACTCCTGTGTCACTAGGATTATAGGATAGGCATGAGCCACTGGTAGCCTGTAGCTTTTGTTTTTGTTGGTTGTGGGGCCTGAACTCTGGGCCTGGGCACTGTCCCTCAGATCTTCAGCTCCAGGCTAGCGCTCTACCATTAGAGCCACAGTGCCCCTTCTGGCTTTTTTTTTCTTTTTTCTGTTTATGTGGTGCTGAGGAATCGAACCCAGGGCCTCTTGAATGTGAGGAAAGTACTCTACTACTGAGCCACCTTGCCAGCCCAGCTTTAACATTCTTCACAGTGCATAGCAGAATTTCTTTTCTATTATGCTTAATTTTAGCCTTGGTAAATGCCCCGAGGGAAATATTGTTGGGTCCTTTTATTTGTCTCTTGTGGAAGGCAGAACCTTGAAAGACCCTAAAGTAAAAAGAAGGTGCATCAGTAAAAGTAGAATATACAAAAGCCTTGATGAGAGCAGAACTTTGTTAAAGGGGGAGAGTGCTGGGAGAACCTCAGGGGAAAGGACTTCAGGAGGAACAATAGTTTACAAACAAAAACCTAACCAAACCCTGGAAAATTAGAACTAAATTAATGCTTTATGTTCATAATGTTCTTACTTCAATTGCTTCAGTTATGTCTCCAAGAAGCCTTTAAGAGTAATCACAGCTGTGATTATGTTTACTATGAAGGATTAAAGATCAATTAGGGACAAAGTATTGCAGTAGTTTTTGCTTCCATGATTCACACCAGAGAGGCAAATTTGGGTTCTCTGGGAAGGGAGCTAGGGGGAATGAAACAGAAGGTTCCTATTGCTTTGCCATGTGACTAAAGCAAGATGGCTCTGTGCAATTATCCCTCTATATCTATGGGGGAATGGTTCCTGGATCTCTAAATTGCACAGATGCCACAGTATTTCCTTAAAACCTACTCACAAACTTCTATACACCTTAAACCACCTAGGTTATTTACAATACATGATGCTATATAATTAGTTTTACTACTGTATGGGTTAGGGAATAATGACATGCACATATTCAATATAGCCAATTATTTTTTCTGAACATTTGGATGTGGGAGTAAACTCTCCTTGAGTGCCATTTTATGTGGTCTTCTAGTATCTCTGTCCAAGACAAAAATTTAGGAAATTGTGGGGTGCTGGTGGCTCGGGCCTATACTCCTAGCTACTCAGAAGGCTGAGATATTAGGGTTATAGTTAGAAGCCAGCCCAGACAGAGGGAACTCCGTGAGACTCTTATCCCCAGTTAACCAAAAGGTGGGGTATATTTCAAGTGGTAGAGTGTTACCCTTGAGTGAAAAAGCCAAGCAAGAGTGTAGTGAGGGCCAGAGTTCAAGTCTCCAAACTGGTATACATTAGACAAAATGAGTCTTGCATTGTAGAGGGCGACTTAATTACTTTCAAATTTGACAGTTCCATAATTCTGAAATTTAGGTATCAGGAAAACAATCATTGGTATTATATATTATTTGCTTTTTTTTTTTTTTTTTTGATCTGGTCGTGGTCCCTGAACTCTTGGCCTGGGCGCTGTCCCTCAGATCTTCAGCTCAAGGCTAGCGCTCTACCATTTGAGCCACAGCACCACTTCCAGCTTTTTTTTTCTGCTTATGTGGTGCTAGGGAATCGAACCCAGGGCCTCAGGCAAGCAAGGCAAGCGCTCTATTACTGAGCCACCTTCCCAGCCCCGGTATTATATATTATTTAAATTAAAAAATTATCTTTAAATAGCTGCACAAAGGGGTTTCAATCGAACATGTCAATTTAAGTACATAATGCATCTTTTTGTTTTTTGGTCGGTGGTAGGGTTTGAACTCTGGTCTTCTGGGCTTGGGCGCTGTCCCTGGGCTCTTCAGCTCAAGGCGAACGCTGTACGGCTTGAGCCACAGCGCTAGCTCCGGTTTTCCGGTGGTTTATTGGAGATAAGAGTCTCACGGACTTTTCTACCCGGGCTGGCTTTGAACCTTGAACCTCAGACCTCAGCCTCCGGAGTAGCTAGGATTGCAGGCGTGAGCCGCCAGCTCCCGGCTACATAATGCAACTTGATCCGTGTCATCTCTCCCACTTTCCTCCTCTGCCCCCTCAGGAAAAAATGTGAGCATGGGCTGTGAATTTCTAACTTGATCCCCAAAGTCGGCCTCATGCCAAAGCTTGATCCACAGGAGAAACATTTCCCCGGCGGTCTCGGGGCTAGGCGCGCCCCCGCCCACACTTTCTTTTCTGCGAGGACTAAGAGCCACCAATGCTGGGTAGGTATTTGAATCGACCAATAATATCACGGATCTGTTAAAGTTGAGGCGGGACATTTGAATTATCCAGTCACATCAGAGGTGCGGAAGCACCTTAGCCAATCCAAAAGCACGGAGGCGGAGTCTGAGCCAGGGGGGGCGGTGAAAGGAGCTGCTGACGAAGATGGCGGCAGAAGCGCTGGGCGAAGGGGAGGTGCCAGCCCGGGACTCCAGCCGGAGGTGAGCCAAGTTCTTGGTCCAGCTGCCTAGGAAACGAGGCTGTGGGCCGGTCGCACTGCCGCCCTCGCCTTGAGTCACGGAGACCCACGGGGCTGAACTTTGTTCCTTCCTCCCCTCATCGCGCGGGCGGCGGCCGACGGCCGAGGCGCGTTAGTGGGTTCCCGCGGCGTCGGCTGCAAACCCACCAATCGGGGCTGGCGGCGCTGCGGGCCTCGGAGGTCTGCGGGGGGGATCTGCGGGGAGATCTGCGGGGGGGATCTGCGGGGGGATCTGCGGGGAGGCTGGGCCACTGAAGCCCAGCGCTGTTAGCCAGGTCCCCCGCGTCACACAGCGTGCATGTCAGTCACCTCTGGTAGGAGCAAGGAACTGGAGGATCGGTTCGTAATGGATGTGCGTCCTGGGCCCGGCTCGGGAACCCCTCCGCCGCCAGCTGTAAGCCGGTCTCGTCTGTGCCCACGCCCCGGATGTCTACTTCAGAAAAGGATGGAACGAGACAGCCGGTTCAGAGTGCCCAGTACTGATCCTTGCGGATGAGCATCACTCCATGTGTGGTTTTCTTTTTCCTACCCCAGCCAAAGAACAGATCCCAAGTCGGGTGCCTGTGGCTCACGCCTGTAGTCCTAGCTACTTAGGAGGCTGAGATCGGAGGGTCGCTGTTGGAAGCCAGCCAGGCCAGGAAAGTCGATGAGACCGACTCCAGTTAATGGGAAGTGGAGCTGTGGCTTAGTGGAGTGCAAATCCACACACACACAGAGACATCCGGGGCGTGGGCACAGACGAGACCGGCTTACAGCTGGCGGCGGAGGGGTTCCCGAGCCGGGCCCAGGACGCACATCCATTACGAACCGACTTCCAGTTTTCTAGTGGTTTATTGGAGATAGGGGTCTCACGGTTTCCTGCCTGAACAGTGATCCTCAGAACTCAGCCTCCTGAATAGCTAAGATTATGGGCGTGAGCCACCGACGCCCAGCTCAAACCCCTAAATTGTAAATGTTTTCTTTTTTTTGTTTTCTGTTGTCAGCTATAGGACTTGAACTCAGGGCCTGGGTGCTGTCCCTGAGCTTTTTTTGCTCAAGGCTAGTGCTGTAACACTTTGAACCATAGCTTTATTTCTGGTTTTCTGGTGAAGTGGTACTGTGGCTCAAGTGGTAGAGTGTTAGTCTTGAACAAAAATCAGCTTTGGGACAGTGCCCAGGCTCAGAGTTCAAGCCCCATGACTGCGAGAGAGAGAGAGAGAGAGAGAGAGAGAGAGAGAGAGAGAGAGAGAGAGAGAGACGCGCGTGAGGGGAGAAAGAGGGGAGAGAGGGAGAAGGATAAGGGGAGGGGGAGAGGGAGAGACAGAAAGAGTGAGACAGAGGGAGAGGGAGAGAAAGAGAGAAAGAGAGAGAGGAAAAATCTCAGGGATTTCCTTGCCTGGGCTGCCTTTGAATCACAATCCTCAGATCATAGTCTCCTGAGTATCTAGGATTACAGATGTGAGCCCACCAGTGCTCGGTCTGTAAATATTTTCTTTCTTTCTTTTTTTTTTTTTTTGGGTCCAGTCATGGGGCCTGAACTCTGGGCCTGGGTCCTGTCCCTCAGCTCTTCAGCTCAAGGCTAGCGCTCTACCACTTGAGCCACAGCGCCACTTCTGGCTTTTTTCTTTTTGCTTATGTGGTGCTAAGGAATTGAACCCAGGGCCTCAGGCATGCAAGGCAGGCGCTCTACCACTGAGCCACCTTCCCAGCCCCTGTAAATATTTTCTAACCTTTGAATCTCCATGTTTATATCTCTTTTTGGTTTGGAATTCATTTTCTTGTGTATGATGTGAAGTAGGGAGCACACTCCCCTCCAAGTAAAGTATTCACCCTTATGCTTAACTCATCTTGCATAGCGTATAGCAGTGATAGAAATCCACTGTTGAGCTTCATGTATGTGTTGTAGAATACCATTAACTGCTCTAGTTTTTACTTGTGTTTGTGCCTACTTGTAGGAAAGTGCTCAGAGTTCTAATAAGTACTTCTTTTCAGAGCCCATAATGTGTCCTTGTGTCTTGTAACATGTCTGGAATTTGTGTAGGCTCTGCTGGGGCAGGGAAAGGAGAATTTCTTTGTCACACAAACAAGGACAAAGCCTTTTTCCTGTCTCTTCGATTTACCAATGCCTCATCAGAAGCTTTCAGCATTTATGTAAGAAATTTATTTTATTGGACTTGAGAAAATTTAACAAGTTGTTTTAAATATGATAGAGTAGGAAATTGTTTTTACTTAATTGTAGTGTTTTTGTTCCCCTTTAGTCTTTTAAGTCTTTTAAATGTCTAAGCTGTTTCTTGTATTGTATATTATTTGGAAAAAGATTAATGTTGATTTTGTGATATGGGAATAACAATAACAACAAGCCCCGTTATAGTGGGCTTTTCCATCATTTATTTTCCATTTTCTGTCATTTTCAGTCATTTTCATCTTGTAGACATTTGTACCAGATGCTCTACTCAGAAAAAGTGAGGAAAAGACTTAAAAAAGCCATCGCTTAAGAAAAATTAAAGTGTGGCATACTGAAGTGAATCAGCATGGCAGGGAACAGGGGGAAGCAGAGGAGAAAAGAAATGAGATTGCTATGTGTTACTTTTATTTTAGACTTTTAAGGTATGCTCTTTTCTTCTACTCCTTATAGATAGCAGAGGCAGCCTTATCTTGAAGGTATTTATTTTTTTACTTGCTTAGGGTATGTAGGAGAAGTTTGTAGAGGTGATAGCCAGGTAGGAAGTATTCTGTTCAGAAACACTAGCTAGGAGCTTTGTCCTTTAGTTCCTTCCCCAGTTGTGTGTTTGATCTAGTTTAGTACTGAAAGAGTCCATTGTGATTTAAAAAAAACATCTTAGAATCTTAATTGTGTTCTAGACTTTAAAAAAATAAATCTATTAGCATGATGTATTATATGTGTTTCTATTTCAGGAATATAATAGATGCTGTTCATGTACAATAATATATTAGAACTAGATTAATCTGAAATAAGTTATTCACAGAAGGATTGAGTTCCATAAAATGATTAGATGCAATAAATCCTACTTTGTTGTTGTAATAGTCCTTTTCTGGCTTTCTCAATAGGTGATAATTTCTTATTGGCAGTGATTATAAATAATAGATCTATCTGTATTGACTTTTGGTTCTTTTATTTTTTATTTTGCCAGTACTGAAATTTGAATTCAGGGCTTGGGTGTTGTTTCTTACCTTTTTTGCTCAAAAGCTGTCACTCTACCACTTGAGCCCACAGCTCTGTTACCATCTTATTGGTGGTTAATTGGAGATGAGAGTCTCACAAGATTTCCTCCCTGGGCTGGTTTCCAACCTTGATCCTCAGATCTCAGCCTCCTGACTAGCTAGGATTATAGGGGTAAGCCACTGGCACTCAGCTTGACATTGTTTTTACCTGAAATAAACTGACATTTGAAAAAGAGGTGTGTGTGTGTGTGTGCATGCGTGCGTGCGTGCGTGCGTGTGTGTGTGTGTGTGTGTATGTGTGTATGTGTGTGTGTCTGTCTGTCCTAACTTGAACTCAAGAGCTGGGGTGCTGTCCCTGAGCTTTTATACTCAAGGCTAGTGCTCTATCACTTGAGTAATAACTCCAATTCTGACTTTTTTGGTGGCTAATTGGAGATAAGAGTCTCACAGACTTTCTTGTCCAGGCTGGCTTCAAACTGCCATCTTCACAGTGCAGCTTCACAGTGTAGCTAGGATTATAGGTGTGAGGTACCAGTGCCCGGCCAAAACGCTCTTGTCAAAGACTTTAGAGAAAATTGCTTCTTATTCTAATTGCTTTATATTATCATTGGCTTCTTTAAGTTTACACAGAGAAGCCGGGTGCTGGTGGCTCACGCCTGTAATCCTAGCTACTCAGGAGGCTGAGATCTGAGGATTGTGGTTCAAAGCCAGCCCGGGCAGGAGAGACCTTGAGACTCCTATCTCCAATAAACCACCAGAAAAACCGGAAGTGGCTCTGTAGCTCAAGTGGTAGAGAGCTCACCTTGAGCTGAAGAGCTGAGGGACAGCGCCCAGGCCCAGAGTTCAAGCCCCACGACCGACAAAAAAAAAAAAAAAGTTTACACAGAGAAATAATCTATCCTAGTGTGTAAAAAGGTTGAGGAGACAACCATTCTGTGCTCTCTCAGTGACTTTTTGCCTTGAGAACCACACATTCATAGTTTTAAATTTTTGTGTGGTTTTATTATAATGCATTATAATTTTAGAGAAAAGAATCTAGTTAAACAACCAACTGATATTTGGATTATTAATTAATAATTCTACAATAACTTTTTTAAGGGAACAGAAATGAACTCTGAAATTTTCCTGTGCCTGTTTTCATTTACTATCATTGAAAATTACTCATGTAGTATTGGCAGACTGTCTTGTTGGTTTGTTGTTTCATATTTCAAAGTATCACTTTGCCTGGAACAGTACTTTGATACGTAAGGTATAGTAGATGACTTTTTATTTTTTGTCGGTTGTGGGGCCTGAACTCTGGGCCTGGGTGCTTTCCCTCAGCTCTTCAGCTCCAGGCTAGTGGTCTACCATTTGAGCCACAGAGCCACTTCCGGCTTTTTCTGCTTATGTGGTGCTGAGGAATCAAACTCAGGGCCTCATGCATGCAAGGCAAACACTCTACCACTGAGCCACCTTCCCAGCCCCTCACACATGAGTTTTAAGTTGTGATTGTTTTTATTGTGAAATGTTTGGATGAGTCAGGTGAATTTGCTTGACTTAAATGTGCTTACTTGTCCTTTCTGATTTGTGTTGTATCTATTATATAGTAAGAGTTAAAACAGCTGTTATAGTTCATTGATGATGGGTACAAACAATGATATATCTGCTGTAAGAGATGGAATAATACAGTTCTTTATAAAGAATCATGTATTAGAACTAAAAAGAATCTGGGTACTGGTAGCTCACACCTGTAATCCTAGCTACTGAGGAGGCTGAGATCTGTGGATCATGGGTCAAAGCCAGTCTGGTCAGGAAAGTTTGTGAGACTCTTTTCTCCAATTAATCACCAAAGAGCCAGAATTAGAGCTATGGCTCAAGTAGTAGAGCTTTAGCATTGAGCAAAAGAAGCTTAGGAACAGGGCCTAATTAAGTCCCAAGACTGGTACTTAAAAAAAAAAAGTAAAAAGGAGTCCTAGTAGTCATGCACTGGGGAAAAAAATATTTCTTAGATTTAAAAGAGCTTTTTGAGCTGGGTGGTGGTGGCTCACACCTGTAATCCTAGCTACTCAGGAGGCTGAGATCTGAGGATTTTGGTTCAAAGCCAGCCTGGGCAGGAAATCCTGTGAGACTCCAATAAGCCATTAGAAAACCAGAAGTGGTGTTCTGGCTCAAGCGGTAGAATGCTGGCCTTGAGCTGAAGAATTGAGGAGTGTAGTCCAATGTAACATGGGAGTGGAAAGCCTGAGATCAGGAACCTTGCAGCAAAGGCAGACGATGCGTGGATCAGAAGTCACCAGAATTGAGAGTTTTCAAATAAAACAGGGATGGGGATACAGCTCAGCAGTAGAGCTTGTGCCTAACATGCATGAGGCCTGGGTTTGATCCTGAGTACCACAAAGTAAGTAAATAAGTAAAATCTACTTATAGACGTGGGCAAAACAGAATTGCTATCCATTTTATGTACCTGTGTCTTCTGTTCTCTGAAAGCTTCTTGGTTACGAGGAACAGAATCCAAGAGCAGCTGCCTCAATTAGAGGAAGATGGTTGTAAGAAAGCCTCTGCCCCTGTGTGGACCCAGTAACCAATGAACCCATTGTGTAAAGCCGGGGGAAAAAACCCACACATACATGATCTCTTCAAAGATTCTTCTGTTTCATTTTTTTCCAGTGATGCCATCTGTAGTTTTGTTATCTGCAATAATTCTTCCCTTCGAGGTCAGCCAATTATCTTCAATCCTGACTTTTTTGTGGAGAAGCTCCGACATGAGAAACCTGAGGTGTTCACTGAGTTGGTGGTCAGCAATATCACAAGACTTATCGATTTACCGGGAACTGAGCTGGCTCAGCTGATGGGAGAAGTGGACCTTAAGTTGCCTGGTGGGGCTGGTCCTGCAACAGGATTCTTCCGGTCTCTGATGACTCTCAAGCGGAAGGGTAGGAGATGTATTTGTGACGTGTGGACCTGTCTCACTATTACCTAACTTCCCTCTTGACATTGCACATTCACTGAGAGTTTTGATCACCCTAAAACAGTTTTGGGGCATTTTCCCCATTTTTACTAGTAGAATATTAGGTAATAAAAAGTTTTTTTAAAAAAAGAGAAAAAAACGGGTTGGGAATGTGGCTTAGCAGTAGAGTGCTTGCCTAGCCTGCATGAAGCCCTAGGTTCAATTCCTCAGTACCACTGACACAGAAAAAGCTGGAAGTGGCACTGTGGTTCAAGTGCTAGACTTGAGCAAAAGAAGTTCATGGACAGTGCCCAGGCCCTGAGTTCAAGCCCTAAGACTGGCAAAAAAAAAAAAAAAAAAAAAGATGCTAATCTCTTCTTAGTACTCAGGATTGGACTCGGGGCCTCACTCATGTTAGGCCACTGAGCTATATTCTTAGCCTCTGAACTTTTTTTTTTGTCAGTTGTGGGTCTTGAACTCTGGGCCTAGGCGTTGTCCCTCAGCTCTTCAGCTTAAAGCTAGCACTCTACCACTTGAGCCATAACATCACTTCTGGTTTTCAGGTGGTTTATTGAAGAGTCTCAAGGACTTTCCTGCCCTGGCTGGCTTTGAACCATGATCCCCAGATCTCAGCCTCCTTAGTAGCATAGATTACAGGCGTGAGCCACTGGTGCCTTGCCTGAACATTTTTTTTTTTTTTTTTTTGTTTTTTTTCGCCTGAACTCTGGGCCTGGGTGCTGTCTCTGAGCTCTTCAGCTCAAGGGTAGTGCTCTACCACTTGAGCCACGCGCCATTTCTGGCTTTTTCTGCTTATGTGGTGCTGAGGAATTGAACCCAGTGCCTCATGCATACAAAGCAAGCACTCTACCACTGAGCCACCTTCCCAGCCCCTGGACATTTTTTTTATTGCACTAGTTTTCAGATATTTTCATGCTTTTATAGGGCAGATTCCTGCAATTCACCAACTGCCAAAAAGAGCACTACTTTTGATGAGAGATCCTATTTTATTTTACTAAATATAAGGAAATAATTAAGATAGAAAAATAGTTTTAGGGGCTGGGAAGGTGGCTCAGTGGTAGAGCGCTTGCCTTGCATGCCTGAGGTCCTGGGTTCGATTCCTCAGCACCACATAAGCAAAAAGAAAAAAGCTGGAAGTGGCGCTGTGGCTCAAGTGGTAGAGCACTAGCCTTGAGCTGAAGAGCTGCGGGACAGCGCATAGGCCCAGAGTTCAGGCCCCACGACCGGACCCAAAAAAAAAAAAAAAAAAAAAAAAAAGAAACAAGTTTTAGCATAAACAGATCAGGTCTTGTACCAACTCCAGTGGATAATCGGTTATGATTTGATAGTCATGGCTCAAGTTCTTTTTTTATTTTTGAGTCCGGTCGTGGGGCCTGAACTCTGGGCCTGGGCGCTGTCCCTCAGCTCTTCAGCTCAAGGCTAGCGCTCTACCACTTGAGCCACAGTGCCACTTCTGGCTTTTTCTGCTTATGTGGTGCTTAGGAATCGAACTCAGGGTCTCATATACAAGGCATGCACTGTACCACTGAGCCATCTTCCCAGCCCTCAAATTCTTTTTTTGTAGGTGTCGGTCTTGGGGCTTGAACTCAGGGTCTGGTTATGTCCTTGAACTTTAGTGCTCAAGGATAGTGCTCTATCAGTTGAGCTACAGCTCCACTTCTGGCTTTTACTGGTTAATTAGAGATAAGCATTTGCAGGCCTGGGCTGGCTTTGAACCACAGTCCTCATATCTTAGCCTCCGGAGTAGTTAAGATTACAGTTATGAGCTCCTGGCCCCTGGCTTTTAAGTTCCTTTTTGTTTGATTTTAGATTGTCACTAAGCTAGCCATTATTACTTAAAGAAGCAAATGGTAGCTGGGCACTGGTAGATCACATCTGTAATCTTAACTGTTTGGAAGGCTGAGATCTGGGACTGAGGTTCAAAGCCAGCCTGGGCAGGAAAGCCTGTGAGACTCTTAGATTAACTACCAAAAAGCTAAAAGTGGAGGTGTGATTCAAGTGGTAGAGCACCCATCTTTATTGAAAAAGCTCAGGGATACACCCAGGTCCTGTGTTTAAACCCCCAATAAATATCAAGACCAGCATGTGTTGGTAAAATGGTAAGATGTTGTTTTCCTTCCCTCCCTCCGTCCTTCCTTCCCTCCTTCCTTCCCTTCCTTCCTTCCAGTATTGAACTTGGAAAGAGTTGATTGACAGTTGTTCTAATTGAATTTCCTGGTTATTAGTGCTAAGGTTTTAAAAATTAAAAAAATTTAACATTAATATACAGAGGAGTTAATGTGATATTTGCATGTATGTGCATAATATGCTTTGATTAAATTCTTCCCATCTATATTAGTGTTTCTTCCCTGGTTCCTACTTCTTCCCCAGTGCTAAGTAAGGTGTTTGTTACTGACCTTAGGAAAACATTTGATGAACTGTGAAATAGGGGGAATGGTTTTATACTGTTTGTATAAAATATAGTCCTCTCCTGTTACGTGGTTTTTTCAGAAAAAGGAGTGGTATTTGGATCTCCACTGACTGAAGAAGGCATTGCCCAAATATACCAATTGATTGAATATCTTCACAAAAGTAAGACAATTTGTAGTTTGAATATCTTTATAAAAGACTTATTAGTTTGTTGACCTATGTTTAATGAGGAATTATCAATTTTCCATTGATTGCTAATAGCTTTGAGTTAGTAGTTGCCATTTAACCATCATCAAAGGAAGTAACCAATGATGTTAATTTCACATGGCAGTTTTTTTTTTTTTCTATGATGGGGCTTGGACTCAGGACCTCTGTGCTGTCCCTGAACAATTTTTGCTGAAGGCTAGCACTCTACCACTTTATGCCACAGATCCGCTTCTAGTTTTCTGGTGGTTAGTTGAAGATAATAGCCTCGTGGACTTTTCTGCTGGACTGGCTTCAAATTTGGATCCTCAGATCTTAACCTCCTGAGTAGCTAGGATTACAGGTGTGAGCCACAAACACTCAGCTTGTATATATATGTATATATATAAGTTAGTGTCTAGAGAATTACATTTACCCCTTTAGTAAAACAATTATGGAGCTGGGTGCCAGTGGCTCACGCCTGTAATCTTAGCTACTCAGGAGGCTGAGATCTGAGGATCGTGGTTCAAAGCCAGCCCAGGCAGGAAAGTCCGTGAGACTCTCATCTCCAATAAACCACTAGAAAACTGGAAGTAGGGCTGTGGCTCAAGCGGTAGGGTGCTCACCTTGAGCTGAAGAGTGCAGGGACAGCGCCCAGGCCCAGAGTTCAAGCCCCACAACCGACAAAAAAAAAGACAATTATGGAAAAATTTGGTGTGTATAGAATCATGACATTTATTCAAGGGAACATGATCTCTAAAATTCTGTGATGAACATACTCTTAGTTATGTCATCTGTGCCTGGCAAAACCTCCTTTTTAAAAGCTTTGTAGGCTGGGCACTGGTGGGTCACACCTGTCTGTAATTCTAACTACTCAAGAGGCTAAGATTTGAAGATGAAGGTTCGAAGCCAGCCTCGACAAAAAAGACCATGAGAGTCTCATCAAAAAGCCAAAGTCTTATCTCCAATACCTACCAAGACAAAAGTGGGGCCATGTCTCAAGTTATGGAGTGCTAGTCTTGAGTAAAATAGCTAAGGGACAGCACTCAGGTTCTGAATTCAAGCCCTACCATCACCAAAATAAATAAATAAATAAAGTCTTTGCAAGGGATATTTTAAGGGAAGAGTAATATGTTAATTATATCTTTTCTCTTTTGTTTTTTTCCCTGTCCTCTGTTTTTTTCCATGCTAAGCAGATTTGCGAGTAGAGGGTTTGTTTAGAGTACCAGGCAATAGTGTTCGACAGCAGATTTTAAGAGATGCTCTCAATAATGGAACTGATATTGACTTGGAATCAGGGGAATTTCACTCAAACGATGTTGCCACCTTGCTGAAGATATTTCTAGGAGAGTTACCGGAGCCCTTACTGACACATAAACATTTCAATGCACATCTCAAAATTGCTGGTGAGTATAGGAAGGAGGACATTTAACTATTTCAATTTAGTAAAATTATTTGGAATTTTCTGTGACTCATGGAAATTTTTTTTTTCTTTTTCTTTTTTGCAAGTTCTGGGGCTTGAACTCAGGGTCCTGGGCACTGTCCCTGAGCTTCATTTGCTCAAGGCTAGCACTCTACCACTTGAGCCAAAGTGCCACTTCTGGCTTTTTCTGTTTATGTGATAGTGGCACTCTACCACTAGGCCACATTCCCAGCTCCCAGAAATACTTTTTTTTTTTGTCTTCAATGGGCTTGAACTCAGGGCCTGGGCACTGTCACTGAGCTTTTTTGTTCAAGCCAGGTGCTCTACCACCTGAGCCACAGCTCCACTTCTGGCTTTTTGCTAGTTGGAGATGAGTCTTACAGACTTTTCTGTCTGGGCTGGGTTTAAACCTTAATCCTTAGATCTCAGTCTCCTGAGTAGCTAGGATTACAGGTGTAAACTACTGGCATCTGGCTTCAAATGTCTTTCTTGATAAATAAATGTTTATTAAGACAAAGGGCTGACTAGGGCCAGTTATTATTTATTTTTGTATCCCTGATGGACCCTATTATAGGCCTTTGGACATTTTAATTGCTCAATGAATGTATGCTTTTGGATTGGTTGGCGTCACACCTCAAATGTTATAGGTTTGATGGGTTTGTCTTAGTTTGAGACTTTTACTAAATATTTCTAATGGAGAGATGATTTCTACATTTGGAAATTAGTTTTTAAAAAGATTTTGTTCTCTGAGTAGGCAATACATTACTATGATTTATAGTTTCAAAAGCTTCAGAGAAAAGCCAGATGTTGGTGGCTCAGACCTGTAATCCTAGCTATTCAGGAAGTTAAGATCTGAGAATCATGATTCAAAGCCAGCAGGAATATCTGTGAGAATTTTCTTTTTTGGTCTGTCATGGGGCTTGAACTCTGGGTCTGGGCACTGTCCCTCAGCTCTTCAGCTCAGGGCGAGTGCTCTACCACTTGAGCCACAGTGCCACTTCTGGTTTTCTAGTGGTTAACTGGAGATAAGAGTTTCAACGATTCCTGCCCAGGCTGGCTTTGAACCGAGATCCTCAGATCTCAGCCTCTTGAGTAGCTAGGATTACAGGTCTGAGCCACCAGCGCCAGGCGAGACTCTTTTCTTTAACTACCAAAGAACCATAAGGAGAACCCAGTGCTGGTGGCTCACACCTGTAATCTTAGCTACTCAGGAGGCTGAGATCTGAAGATATGGTTCAAAGCCAGGCTGGACAGGAAAGTCTGTTAACCTCCAGTTAACTCACCAGAGAACCGGAAGTGGTGCTGTGGCTCAAGTAGTAGAGCACTTGCTTTGAGATGAAGATCTGAGGGACAGTGCCCAGGCCCAGAGTTCAATCCCATGACCAACAAAAAAACAAAACAAAACAAAAAGTGACAAAAAAGCCATAAGTGGAGCTGGCAAAAAAAGAAAAAGAAAAAGAAATCAACATCACTTGTCTCTGGGCAAAGAACTGGGTGCCAGAGAATAGAGTAGGGAAGAAGTTTTTCATTTTATATTCTCTGAACCTTTTTTTTAGTGTGTGTCAGTTCTGGAGCTTGACCTTAGGGCCTGGGCACTGTCCCTGAGCTTCTTCTGCTCAAGGCTATCACTCTACCACTTGAGCCATAGCACCACTTCTGGTTTTCTAGTGATTAATTCGAGATAGATTCTTATGAACTTTCCTGCCTGGGCAGACTTTGAATCATAATCCTCAGATCTCAGCCCTCTTGAGTAGCTAGGATTACAGGGTGAACCTCCAGTGCCCAGCTTTAATGGTCTGTTTTTTTTTTTCGGGGGGGGGGCCCAACCTGGGGATTGAATTCAGGGCCTGGGCACTGACCCTAAGATTCTTTTGCTCAAGCTAGCACTCTACCACTTGAGCCACAGTGTCACTTCTGGCTTTTTCTGTGTTTTTGGTACCGAGGAATGGAACCCAGGGCTTCATGCATGCTAGGCGAGCATTTTACCACTAAGCCACCTTCCCAGCCCTAATGGTCCATTTTTATCTCATCAATAGTTTCGTTCTTTGTGCTGTGTGGTTTTCTTTTTCTTTCCCTTTTTTTCTCTTTTCTTCCTTTCTGTGCCATTGGAGCTTGAATTTTTCCCCCCTCATCTCTGTTCTTTACCATTCGACTTATGCCTCTACTATTAGATCTTTGTTGATTAATAGGAGATAAGAGTCTCTCATTTGTCTGTCTGGGCTGGTCTCCTGAAAAGCTAGGATTAGAGCCATTAGTTACCATTGCCTGGCTGAGAATGTTTTTCTCTTTTCTTTCCCTCTTTTCCTTCCTCCCCTCTCTTCTATGTATGAGCTCTGTCTCTCCCCACCTTCCAGGGAATTGAACTCAAGGCACATTCTAGAGTGTTATTAGATTTTTATGTTTAACACATTTCTGCCTTTCTGCTTTTGGTATGAATTGAAGGGAGGAGAACAGTATGGCATTGAAGGTTTGTTGTTATTTTTTCCTTATTCCTTACGAGTAATTCGTTTTGTTTTTAAGATTTGATGCAGTTTGATGATAAAGGAAACAAGACCAATGTACCAGATAAGGAGCGGCAAATTGAGGCTCTTCAGTTGCTTTTCCTCATTCTCCCTCCACCCAATCGTAACTTGTTGAAGTTATTGCTTGATCTCCTGTACCAGACAGCAAAAAAACAAGATAAGAATAAGATGTCTGCCTATAACCTTGCTCTTATGTTTGCACCACATGTCCTATGGCCAAAAAATGTGAGTGTTGAGGGGAAGAGCAAAGATTGCTTTGTTTTCTTGGGCTGGGCCTCATCCTGTGGCCGTACCTTGGTGAGGCTATCAAGGTCCAAGGTCTAGTCTTTAGCTTTATGAGGTCAGGAACTTCCTTTATTAGTTCATTCTGGCCCAAGGGGCCAGCTCCTCTAACTTTCCTTATAAATCTTTCTTTATAAACCTGCATAGCAACTGAAATTACAGCTACTAAGTAAACTAGAATACTCATTTTGATGAATTAGTAATGACGTTATTTATTTTTAGCAGTAAATTCTTCTTGGGAAATCAAATGAATTCCTGAAGATTGAATGATAAATTTAGGATAGAGCTGTGTGACCTTATGGGATAGTATCATCAACCTTTCTTTTTTTTTGGGGGGGGTCCAGTTGTGGGGCTTGAACTCTGGGCCTGGGTGCTGTTCCTCAGCACCACATAAGCAAAAGAAAAAAGCCGGAAGTGGAGCTGTGGCTCAAGTGGTAGAGTGCTATCCTTGAACTGAAGAGCTGAGGAACCCAGGACCTCATGCATGCAAGGCAAGTGCTCTACCACTGAGCCACCTTCCCAGCCCTATCATCAACCTTTATAGGAGAGACACATAGATCAGTTTTACCTTGTCCTAACTTTTGTCTTCCTTATACATGCAGTTTTCTTGGATAAAGTTAGTTTGAATGGGCTTTTTGTTACTGAGACTATGATACTATCAGTGACTCACATGAAAATAAATTAGTCTTTTTTGTTTTCTTCAGTGCTGAGGTTTGAATTCAGATACAGATTGTGGTCTCTGTCCATTTTGAATATAAGACTAGATCTCTCTCTCTCTCTCTCTCTCTCTCTCTCTCTCTCTCTCTCTCTCTCTTTACTTATACTGGGGCCTGAACTAATGGCCTTAAGTTCTTACTTTGCTTTTCCTACTCAAGCTGGTAATGCTCTACTACTTAAGCCACATCTCCACTTCTGGCTTTTTGGTAGTTAATTGTAGATAAGTCTTTCATAGACTTTTCTGCCTGGGCTGGCTTTGAAGCTTAATCCTCAGACCTTAGTCTGGTGAGTAGCTAGGATTACAGGCATGAGCCACTAGTGCCCAGTCATGACCAACCAATGCCTAGTCCTAGACTATATTTTGTTTAGCAATATTGCCTACATGATAAGTTCTCAAGGATTTCCTGGTCACATCCACTAGAAACCTGCTAAACCAGAATCTACTCATATTTAGAGTTACTTTTGTTAGGGACAGAAATAATTACACATTTCAAAGAACAAGCTTATTGGTAAGTAATCCCAGCTCTTACTGTTCTTCATTTGCTTTCTTTTCCTCTGGATAGGTCACTGCAAATGACCTTCAGGAGAATATTACAAAGTTAAACAATGGGATGGCTTTTATGATCAAACACTCTCAGAAGCTTTTTAAGGTAGGTACAGGCAGTTTGGTTGGTGACGAGACAAGGAGGGTAGAGAGCAGAGTGGGATTCTAAATAAAAAGATAGGATATAACTAGAAATGTAAACTAGAATGGGACAGTGGCAAAACTCTCCCAGGGGGGAGGACTGGGCTGAGGAAATATCTGTCCTCTGGCTAATTGAGTCATTTCATTAAAGTCTGTACTTGCTGGCAGCTGCTAGTTTTAGCCTGCTTGTTTCCTGCCAGTCTAATTTTGAGGGTCTCACAAGCCCCCTTTATTCTGTCCCTTTCAGCTCAAATAGTGTTTCTGTCATGGTAATTTTCTCAAGAACTTTGTGGGTTTTCTGTGTATTTCAGAGTTTATTCTGTTAGACAAAAGCCATATATATATATATTTATTTATTGCAGATAAATCTTCTACCTTATTTGCTGAGAAGGTTGAGGGAAATCCCTTTAAGCTTCCTGAGGCCCTGTGGTTCAATGGAGAACATCTCAAAGACATGTTCTTACTTTTTAAAAGGGTTTTATGAGGCCAGGTGCTGGCTGGCAGCTCATGCCTGTAAGCATCCCTACTCAGGCTGAGATCTGAGGATTGCAGTTTGAAGTCAGCCTGGGCAAGAAAGCTCATAAGACTCTTGTCTTGAATTAACCACCAGAAAACCGAAAGTGGAACTGTGCTCACAGTGGTAGAGTGCAAGCCTTGAGTGAAAAAGCCCAGGGACATTGTTCAGGCTGAGTTCAAGCCCCACAACTGACAAAAAAAAAAAAAAAAAAAAAGAAAGAAAATAAAGAAAGGGTTTTGTGTTGCTGAAATACTCTTTTGATAATTTCTGGGGTTGTTGGAAAAACTTGTGCAGTCATATCCTGGCCTTTAAAATGCTCCTTGATAGTCTCTTGCCATCTAGAAAGGCTGAGAACTTTAAAGATCATCTACTACTACTACCTTTTTCTTGTGGTAAAATACTTACAAAAGTTACCACTTTTTAATGATTCTATTAACTACCTTTTTTTTTTTTTTGTCAGTCATGGTGCCTGAACTCAGGGCCTGGGCATTGTCCCTGAAATCTTTTGAGGTTCATGGTTATTGCTCTACCACTTTGAGCCATAGCTCCACTTTAGTTTTCTGGTGGTTAATTGGATATGAATCTCACAGACTTTTCTGCCCAGGCTGGCTTTGAACTGTGATCCTCAGATCTCAATCTCGTGAGTAGCTAGGATTACAGGCATGAGCCACCTGTGCCCAGCTAATGTTAACCACTTAAAAATGTCAAATTGTTATTATGAAGGTGATGTACAGAGGAGACATAGTCACATAAGTCAAGTAGGGTACATTTCTTTTTTTTTTTTTTTGGCGTCATGGGGCCTGAACTCTGGGCCTGGGCACTGTCCCTCAGCTCTTCAGCTCAAGGCTTGCACTTTACTACTTGAGCCACAGCACCACTTCCAGCTTTTTCTGCTTATGTGGTGCTGAGGAATTGAACCCAGGGCCTCATGCATGCAAAGCAAGCACTCTACCACTGAGCCACCTACCCAGCCCTTGGGTACATTTCCTTTCTTTCTTTCTTTCTTTCTTTCTTTCTTTCTTTCTTTCTTTCTTTCTTTCTTTCTTTCTTTCTTTCTTTCTTTCTTTCTTTCCTTCCTTCCTCCCTCCCTCCCTCCCTCCCTCCCTTCCTTCCTTCCTTCCTTCCTTCCTGTCTTTCTGTGTCTGTCTGTCTGTTTTTTTTGCCAGTCCTAGGGCTTGAACTTAGGGCCTGGTCACTGTCCCTGAGTTTCTTTGGCTCAAGGCTAATACTCTACCACTTGAGCCACAGCACCACTTCTGGCTTTTTCTGTGTATGTAGTACTGAGGAATCAAACCTAGGGCTTGATGTGTACTTAGGCAAGCACTCTGCCACTAAGCCACATTCCCAGACCCTCACTATTCTGCTTCCTATAAATTTGATTAAATACTTTATGTAAGTGAAGCCATATAATATATGTCTATTAAAAAATTAACATTGGGTTGGGGGTTTAGTTCAGTGGAAGAGTACCTGCCTGGTGAGCGAAGACCCTGAGTTTGGTCCTCAGCTCTGGGAAGAAAAAAAAAAGAACATTATTTATATAAGGATATTTCAATATGATACTTCACTACATGCATATATAATCTACCATATCAAACTTTTAAGTCAAGCCAGGCGCAGCTGGCTTACGCCTGTAATCCTAGCCACTCAGGAGGCTGAGATCTGAGGATCACGGTTCAAAGCCAGCCTGGGCAAGAAAGTCCATGAGACTGTTATCTCCATTTAACCACCTGAAAACCAGAAGTGGCGCTGTGGCTCAAGTGGTAGAGCCTTGAGCTGAAAAGCTGAGGGACAGTGCTTAGGCCCAGAATTCAAGCCCCACAACCCACAAAAACCAAACAAACTTTTAGATCAATTTCAACAGGATTCCTGTTATATTTTCTTTCTTTCTTTCTTTTTCCAGCCCTGAAGTTTGAACTCAGGGCCTGAGCACTCCTGAGTTTCTTTTTGCTCAAGGCTAGTACTCTACCACTTGAACCACAGAGCTAGTTTGGGCTTTTTATGTTTATGTGGTGCTGAGGAATCGAATCCAGGACTTCATGCGTGCTAGGCAAGCAGTTTACAACTAAGCCACATTCCCAGCCCTCCTGTTATATTTTCATACACACATAGAAAGTACTTTAGTCGTATTTGCCATCTCCTTGTACTTGGCATTGAGTAAAAGTCCAAGGGTCATTCAGGCTTCCTAGCACTGTTGATGTTGTGTACTTGTTGAAAATTACTTTAGTATGTATGATAGGTTTGTTCTGGGCTGTCTATCCCATTGGTGTATATGTGTCTTCATACTAGAACCACAATGATGTGATTACTTAGTTTCATAGCAGTTTTGAAATCAGGAAATGTCAGTCTTCTAACTTTGTTATTTTCCTCACTGTTTTGACTGTTCAGAGTCCCTTGAGATTCTGTATCGATTTTAGGCTGAGACCTGGAGGATCATGATTTGCAATCATCTGCATGTACAGTTCAAGTGGTAGAATTCCAGCTATGATCTTAGCAAGATTTGGGTTCAAGTCCTGGTATTGGCCCCCCAAAAATCAAAAACAAAAATGCAACCCCAAACAGAAACAACTATATTGGTGTCTTCTCACAGTTTTTCTTTCTTTTTTTTATTTTAATATGTTTTTATTGTAAAAATACTGTATAGAGGGATTACAGTTACATAAGCAAGGTAATGAGTACATTTCCTATCAAGCATTGTTGCCTCTTCCTTTTTTTTCTCCCCTACTATCCCTTCCTTCCTACCCCCCACAACTACACTCTTTCCCCTACCCCCTCACATTTTTTCTATCAGATTCATTGAGAAATCTATTTGGTGACAAGAGAAAGGAAGCTATGAAGTAGGTCTTTTGAACAATATTTTGCTTTTCCAGATAATATACTTGTCAGGTCCTACTAACCATTGGGTTCTGGTTTTCTTTTATGTCCTGCCCAGGCTCCTGCTTATATTCGTGAATGTGCCAGGTTGCACTATTTGAGCTCCAGAAATCAAGTCTCAAAGGTAAGAATGGGAAATTGTTCGTAACCCAAACAAGGAAATAGTTGATGTTAGTGAAGTTTTAAAACAAAGCATAACATCAGAGTAAAGCCATTTTTTAAGCAGCCAATGTTTTTTTTTTTTTTTTTCCTTGTTGGTCCTGGAGCCTGAGCCTGGGCTTGGGTGCTATCCCTCAGCTCTTCAGCTTAAGGCTAGCACTCAACCACTTGAGCCATAGCGCCACTTCTGGTTTTCTGGTGGTTTACTGGTTTACTGGTGCCCGGGCTGGCTTTGAACTACCATCCTCAGATCTCAGCCTCCTGAGTAGCTATGATTACAGTTGTGAGCCACCAGCGCCTGGCAAGATAAAAGTAATCTGTAATAGCAAGTATATTAAACATAGCAGGAAAAGTACAGTTGTACATAATTCATTTTTAAAGTTCATTGACATGGTAAAATTATCAAATGGCTAAAAGACTTGAGATTATATGAATTTAGAGAACTATAAGATACTTATTTACATACAAATGCATCTCATTATTGAGTTTTAATAGTGTTTAAAAAAACTTGGCAAGCACTTTTATGTAAGTTCTATTTAGTCTGTCTTGGCTAGACACTTAAGGTATTTTTAACTTAGTTTTAAGCTATTTTTAACTTACTTTTTTCCTGCATCTATTTATTTCTCCTTCTCATTCAACAAAGTCTTGATGTGACCAGAGAAACAATATTTGATGTTGAGTGTTAAATTAGAAGATGATTTTTCTTAGAGAACTGTCATTTTTATTCTTTTGCCATTGCTTGTCGCATTAAATTGTCACATGAGGAGATGAGCACCATCTAGATTCAGTTCTGATGGGCCCCAGAGTTGGGAGCGGTTTGTCACTTTAGTATTCAGATGGCTTATCATTATCATTATTTAATTAATTAATTAATTTATTCATTTATTTTTGGTTGGTCATGGGGCTTGAACTCTGGGCCTGGGCGCTATCCCTGAGCTCTTCAGCTTAAGGCTAGCGCTTTACCACTGGAGCCCCAGCGCCACTTCTGTGTTTTTTCCTGGTGGTTAATTGGAAATAAGAGTCTCACAGATGTTACTGCCTGGGCTGGCTTTGAACGGCGATCCTTAGATCTGAGGATCTGAGTAGCTAGGATTACAGGCGTGAGCTACCAGCTACCAGCATGAGCTGCCAGTCCTGGAGCTTAAACTCAGGGCCTGGGCACTGTCTCTAAGCTTCTTTTTGCTCAAGGCTAGCACTCTACTTTTTTTTTTTTTGGTCCGTCGTGGGGCCTGAACTCTGGGCCTAGGTGCTGTCCCTCAGCTCTTCAGCTCAAGGCTAGCACTCTCCACTTGAGCCACAGCACCACTTCCGGCTTTTTTCTTTTTGCTTATGTGGTGCTGAGGAATCGAACCCAGGGCCTCAGACATGCAAGGCAAGCACTCTACCTGAGCCACCTTCCCAGCCCGCACTCTACCTTTTGAGCTAAGTGCCACTTCCAGCTTTTTCTGTTGATGTGGCACTGAGGAATTGAACCCAGGGCTTCATGAATGCTAGGCAAGCATTCTACCACTAAGTCACATTCTCAGTACTCCAGATGACTTTTAAACTTAGGGCTTCACCTAGTTTTTCAAAAACTCTTAAGAGGAATGATGATGCTTTCTCTGCTTACCTTATAGGATAGAGTGAGGATTACAATAGATATGAAAATTGAATGAAAATTGAACTCATACAAATACTGTCCGGCAATATTCTCAGTGTACTTAGGTTCTCTGGATGGGTCATGTATTCTAATAATAGAACCTTTATTAATAGTTTCCTCTATGTTTTGTAGTTGTTTTTTTTTTGGTTTGGGAATGTTAAGAGTTTTCTTGTTCCTGGTTATAGAAGTATACCATATTACTACTCCCTCTGTTTTGATTCAATTTTTTTCATTATTATTTTTTGTGGGAACCAAAAAAACTGGCAAGCTATATTAATTCACTTACCTTTTAAATTTTCTTTAGGATGACCTTGATCTTACGGCTTCATGTCATGCTAAGTCCTTCCAGCTGGTAAAACCTAAGAAATGGAACCAGACAGATTCCTCCTCTCAGCAGGAGGAAACCCAGCAGCGGACAGAAGAGGCCCTGCGAGAGCTCTTCCAGCATGTTCACAATATGCCAGAGTCAGCAAAGAAGAAGCAGCTTATTCGACAGGTACTGGAAGGCGGGGAAATAGTAATGGGGCTTTAAGAATGTGAGCTGGAGCTGGGCACTGGTGGCTTACACCTGTAATTCTAGCTACTCAGGAGGCTGAGATCTGAGGATCGAGATTCAAAACCAGCCTGGGCAGGAAAGTCCATGAGACTCTTATCTCCAATAAACCACCTGAAAACCAGAAGTGGCGCTGTGGCTCAATTGGTGGAGTGCTTGCCTTGAGTTAAAGAGCTGAGGGACAGTGCTCAGGCCCAGAGTTCAAGCCCCACGAGTGACCAAAAAAAAAAAAAAAAAGAAAAAAAAAAGATTGTGAGCTGTAGAATCACAAGAGAATATCTTTCATCTCTTTGGGACAAACTTTGGCTCAGATAAGAAAGTAAGCTTATCTGACTGCAATTCCAATGTGCTGCTGTCCATTTAGAGGAAAAGTGGATGTGTTTGTGTTTCTGCAGTTACAGAGTAGTGTGGTTAGTGTAGTTTTGTTTTGAGAAAACCATAGTTACGGTATGTGTTCTAAGGTTTAAATCCTCTGGATTTTTTTTTTCTTGACATGTAACTTTTTTTTTTTTGGCCATTTGTGGACCTTGATCTCAAGGCCTGGGCTCTGTCCTTGCCTGAGCTCTTTTGCTCAAGGCTAGTGCTCTACCACTTTGAGCCACAATGCCAATTCTGGTTTTTGTGTAGTTAATTGGAGATAAGAGTCTCATGGGGACTTTTCTGCCTGGGCTTGCTTCAGACCTTGATCCTCAGATCTTAGCCTCCTGAGTAGCTAGGAATTACAGGTGTGAGCCACTGGCACCTGGCAAATATATGTCTTTCTGAATTGGACTTTTTGGTTTGGAAATAGTAATAGCAGTTTTTGTGTGTGAAGGTTGAAAAGGGTAGAGGAGATCTGTGTAGAGTAGCTGGTATAGCAGAGCAGATTAGTGGAGTTGTTTGCAACTAGAACTCTAAATTAGGGTCCTACTCTGATACTAGAAAGTAGCAATTCTAGTGGCCAAATTTGTTTATTTTGGAATTTTGGAGCAAAATTAGGTCATTCATTTGTCACTTTTAGGTGCTGTTCCTGCTCAGTTGATAGTTTAGTTTTTCAGGAATTTATTTTGTCTCAATTTTTTGAGTTTTTTTTCCCCCAGTCCTAGGGCTTGAACTCAGGACCTAGGCCTGGTCCCTGAGCCTCTCTGTGCTCAAGGCTAGCACTCTACCACTTGAGCCACAGCACCACTTCTGGCTTTTTCTGTTTATTTGGTACTGAGGAATCGAACCCATGCTAAGGAAGCACTCTACCACTAAGCCACATTCCCAGCCCTTCTTTTGAGTTTTATTTGAACAGGAGGGTCACTGTATTAGTCAGTTTTCCATATATATATATACACACACACACACACACACACACACACACACACACACACACACATATAATACATATACTATCCATGTATATAGTAAATACATGTATCTTACTATATATATCTGAAATAATTAACTTTTGATAAGAGAAGGTTTATTTTGGATCTCAGATTTAGAGTTTCAGTATATGATTGGCGACTCTATTATTTTTGGGTCTTTGGTAAAGCAGATAAAGTTAGGAGCAAAGCTTTTTTCCTCATGGTTGCCAACTGAGGAAAAAAGGGAGGAAAAGACCAGGATCTTACTGACCCCTTTCAGGGTACACTTCCAATGAACTAGATTCCCCACTAGGTCTTACTCTTAAGAGTTCTACTTCTGGGGGGGG